ATTAAAGTATTTTGCTTGGTTTGTTTCGCTTCTGTAAGTTATTCAAACTGAAGCAGCCGAAGCGCAACTTTTCTCTCTGAAATACACAAGAGCAGAAACACAGCCTATAGCACGCAGACGAAGTGCTCAAGTAAATATTCTTGGAACTTCCTTCATTGCTGCTGAGACACCGCTTACTCCTAGGAGATGTTCGTGGTCACGTGTGAGTCACACCCGTCCAGCTGGAATAAGAAGGTGTGCAGAAGGTGCGTGCGCGTTTGTGTAGCTGTGTTCAGTCAGTGGTGCTGCTGTTGGTCGTGGCAGTCCACAGTGGAGCATCCCTGAAGGTGAGTGAGTGCTGCTGCTGCTGACATGTAGCCTGGTACCACATCACAGGTGACAACTCCCCGCACTTGAAGTAAATGTTACACACGCCTTGTGAGGTCTTTCTTTTTCTCCCTCTCTCTCTCTTTCTTTGTAAGAAAGGCTTCCTGCTGGCTACGCCCTGATCCACTTATACTGAATGTGATTTAAATTTAGATTTTTTTTAGAAATAAAATATATATATATTTGGTTGCCAAATCCATCAAATTCACGTTTATCATATTATTGTTTTGTTTTTTATTAATATTATTATTCAGAGGCATCTATATAAAGCTTTTCAGTGACACCCATTGGGTCTTAAGCGGACGAGACTTGTTATCAGTCTGTCTTGACTTCCCCTATTTATTTCCAGATGCCACCTCATTATTTACATTTACTGTTTGCAGAATGACGGTAAGTGTTGTCAAGCGCGCGCTGAGTGGATTTTTCAAACCTCTCTCTCTTTTTTTCTCATTGTTGAGAGATGAGCTGTGGGACACGAAGTCTGAGCTGTGTGTTGTCAGAATCCCATCTAATCTGCATGTTTGTTTCTTAAACAGGGCATGTTCGCTTATCCCCCCTTCTTTTTCTGCAAATCGACAGGAGATGCAACCCGGGAGAAGTGCAATAAAACAAACTCTTGCTCTCAAAGGTGTGCGCGGCTTTGTACCGGCGCGTTTTGCCTGTTAGCTGCACATCCTCTGTCTTTTCATCTGTCAGTTATTCCCCCTCATGTTTTGTCATTTGCTCTGTATATTCATTTGTCGCCTGGATTTTTTTTTTCTCCTCAATGCCAGCATACACCCGAGGTTGTAATTAAATTTCTCCCTCAGTGCGACAAAAGAAAAAAAGAAGGATTTTTTTCTTTTTCTTCTTTTCTTTTTTTGTTCTGAGATACGTTTGATTACTGGTGTGATGATGAGACAGTCTGTGCAGCTTTTGGAGACGTGTGCGTCCTGAGAGCAAGGTGGGGATGTGATCTTTCAGTAGCCACAATAGATTCATAAATAACACATAAAATAGTATCGAAAAATAATTAAATGAATCAACCAAAAAAGAAGGCCTTATAAGGGGGTCTGGAAGTCAAGTTGGCTTTTGCTACTGTTCTTTATCTTTCAGAGGAAAGAAAAAAAGAGTCCGTCAAACTGTAAAAGGCCCGTGTACCTAGACCTGACAGATAATCCTGCGATATGTATATCTAAAGATATCACAATACATTGAACAGAGGCGCTTCTGACAGCTTGAATTGATGCAGAAATTTTAAAAAAAAGGAGACTATACCGAGTTTGTGCTTTTTCTCAATTCCCTACTATTATTTTATTTTTATCTGGCTGCTTATTATTGTTGATTATCGGTTTCAGTGGAGCCACTTTGTGCAAAACGGCTGATGTGTTTCTCCTCCTGGCTTTCAGGACGAAACGAACAGCGCCCCCTACTGTTCAATGGTGAAGGTACAGATTGGAGTCAACACATAAAAGCTCATAGGCCCAGTGGTTAGTAAACAGTTTTTAATCCCATAGAGCCGTTTCACACCCCTCTACGTGATTACAAGGATACAGTCACACCCGTAAATAGATTTACTTCCTGTGTTAATGGTTGCCAAACGTTTATTAGCTGCTATTATTTTATTATTATTACTATTTTTGTGGTAAAAGTCTAAGAAATAAAATATAATTTAAAAATAAATAATGAAATAAAAATGATTGAATCAGCGTGGGTGAAAGTGCATGTTTAAGAGGAAAGCGGTTCCAGCAGCCCGGGTGTAATATGATGGATCACTACAGACACTTCCGCCCCAAAACAGACACGCTAAAGATCAGATTTTCTTTTTTTTTTCGACAATTGATTCTTTGGCTTCACCCGAACTGCTGTCTGAATCGTCATTTCTGGCTCATATTCTACATTTCTCCCCTCATCCAAATCAAAATCTCTGCGCTCCTATAGGGCTTGTCAAGCCTCCAGTTTAGTGATGTAAAAGGAGAAGAAGAAGAGGGGGAGAAAAAAAAAGGAGGTCAGGCTGAGCCCGGCGGGATACAGGGCAGCTGCTCCCAGACCAGTTTCCCCCCATCACACCTACTGCAGCTCCAGTTCTAAAGGCATTTGGTTGGCGGAGTAATTAATAGGAAATAATGATGTTGCCTTAGGTGCCGCATCACCTCCGAGGACGACGTGTTGACTGCATTATTAATCTCCTTACTGTAAATGACACATTGATGCTGATACTTATTTAAATTCATGTGAGAGAGGTGCTCAACTGAACTAACAGGTGAAGCGATAGAAGAAAAGTTACACAACTTAATTAATTAAAATACCACAAAAGGGGTGAGCTCTTGCTTGTAAGCTTTTTATTTTAATTGTGAGTTTTTTCCTCTGTTTTAAAATGTTAAATTATGAAGTATAAATCGCAACCTATTATTGACATGTTTCATATCAGAAACCAAGATTATGCCTCATTTCTCCATAATAATATTTAAAAAACAAAACAAAAAACTCAAACCCTGGGAACTACTGCAGATATTGTAATCGCGCCATAATGCACTTGTCTGCCCAATTAGCTGAAACAATTACTGCAACTTTGACTTTAATTACGTCTCAATTTGAAGCCTCGCTGCTGGTCTATAATTCAGTGATTAAAACCCTCTTTTGCTTCAGTGCCTTTAGGGCAGCGCATGATTAGGACCTGTCAGCTGCTGGAGTGAACGGAGCCAGCCATGCGTGTTGTGCAACATGACCCGCTGTTGTTAAACCTTGTCAACATATTAACCTGAATTCCCCAGTCATTATGAACAGAATTGGCTACATATGAAGAAAAAAATGTACACGTATGTATGTGTAATTGAAAAAGAAAAAAAAAGAAGGGCGGTATTTTTCTCTAACCAGGGACGTGACGTCACGAGTGTCCCAAGGCCTGTTTTATGAAAATAAAAAGAATGAAAAGTAGCGCACGCTGGCTACGACTTGGGCACACAGAATGAAAGTATATCGCATAGTATTTTGTTAGCTATATGTCGACTTTAGACCGCAGATGATTATCCGGTGAATTGCATTCAGTTTCATTATGCTGGTAAAAGTAGTCGCTAAAATCAAGAGTCATTGGAAATGTGATCATTATATGTAGACAAACAAAAATAAAGAGGTTTGACAAGAGGAGAAAGACTGCTTTGGGAGGGCAAAAAGGTTCATCTGAAGCACATTTGATCCTTGTCAAAATATATTGATTCATGTTCTTTCAAGAGACAGTTGATGTCTTCCTTAATTTCTGACTGGCCATCTGGACTGACTGATGAAAGCCGACTCTTGTTTTCTTTGTAGGTGAAGAGCTAATGTGTCAGAAAGTCAATAACTATGGAAAATGATTAATACCTGTAAATACAAAGATTTGGCAAATTTCCTTTTGAGACCATACACAAAGCCCAAAAAACATGGGTATTCCAATGCTCATGCTTAACATAACCCATATTTATATTGCATAGAGTAGGTGAGATTTGGAGAAGTTTGCAGGAGTGTCCAGGCAGCTGCAGTGGATGCAGACTGGGGCATAGGTTTTATGAATCTCCCCTCAGCCACAATCAGTGCAAGCGAGTTTCCTTTGGTGTATCCAGGGGTGAATAATTTATAGGAGGATAAAAGCATTTGTGGTTGAGAGCTAGACAGTCAGACAGTAGAAGGAGGCTGGCTGGGAATCACCCGCCTTCCTCCCCAGCACCCCCACCCCCACATATCAACCCCTACACATCCACCCAAACCCAGCTCACCCCCTCTGCCACGTGGTGGCCTTGCACGATACCTCCTCGGACGGCTGCTTGAAGTGCAAATCTGTGTTCCAACTTGTTCCCGGTGCCTGTCAGCATGTTTTCCTCTTGTCAGCAGCGATTGAGTGTGGGCCCGTGTCACCCTTGTACCGCCGCTGTAACAGGATCATTGACAGGCCAGTGACACTGCCCAACCAGATAATGGAAACCTATTGATTTTTCTTCTCCTTTTTTTTTTCTTTTTTCTTTTTTTACACAAACAATATGTGGCACTTCTAAATAACTGGCCAAAAGGAACAGGTCACGATCAATGCTCCTGACCTTTGATTCACTGCTGCCACAGACACTGAAAAAATATATATATTTATTTATAAAAGCATAGCTAATAAAAAAGTCCTTCTGGTTGATGCATACTCTTTTGGGATACTGCCGTACGCATCATAAAAATTGAAGTAATTGAAGGTTTTTTTAAGCTGCCCCTGATTTTGATTTGCTAAATTGACAGAAACTGTTACCTCTGAATTAAATGCGTGTTTCGCTCTTTGTACGGGGTTAGCGCTTGCAGTTTTAATGGTGAAATCTCCAGAGAGGAGGCCCCTTTGATACCCATGGAAATGATAAGCATGCATTGGCTGCCTACCATTGGACCCAGTTGGCAGATGGCGAGCAGGTCCTGCAACAACACATTTCTTTTTGTCAGCCTTGTCCCCCTCTCTTGCTCTCTCTCTCTTTCTCTCTCCAGCCAGTGGGATAATGAAAAGCCCAATTCTGGTCATGGCTAACTCAATCTCATTATAATCTCTCCTTTTTTTTATTCATTCAGCCCCTTGGGATGCTGTCTGCCAGCGATGTGGCTTTCAACCTCCAGAGAGAACATCTTTTGAAACAGCCAGGAGACCTAATGAAGTCACAGAGTGGCACAATTATTTCCCAAAGAAGGAGTATTAATGTACTTCAAAATTCCCTCCAGAGAAGCATGATGACAATTGGTTTGTACAGCTTTGATCGCTGCTTTAAATACTGCCCAAGATAAACTGCAGGGTTAGCCCCCTTTGCCACTGGTAAGTAGAAAACCCAGAAGTGGCTCTCAAGCATTAGAAACATCAAATACCCAGCCAGTTCTGCTGCAAAACACTGGAGTTTAAAATAGCACATAGCCCTAATATTACTTTCTGTTGGGAATAATGGTGCAAAATGACACTGAAATGTGCATCTTTCACCCAACTGAATTGCAACAAATTTTGTTAAACATAACAAATAAAATCAGGTTGTGTGTTGTGGGGAAGGGGCTGATTCATTATCACATAAGACACCTTTAGACAGCTGAAAGCGGCAACTCCAGCTGCTGCTGCTAAAAGTTGCATCTGTGCTCTGTAATCAAAGAGACTTTTCTTTGAAATTAGAATGATGACGTTTTTGTCAAAAAAAATTGCTGTGGTGTTTGAGGTTGTTTACGCCACCACTTTCAGGGCAGATTAAACAGATTAATACATGATAAACACCAATCAACCTTAAACTCTACTCCATTAAATCCACTACAAATTCATATTTTGCCTTTATTTAAATCATATCTTTATTATTTTTCCTCTACAGCTTCCAAACAAAGTGACACCAGCACTCAGATTTTCTTTTGTCTGAATGTGAATCTTGTTGCAGCTGAAGATCTGTAAGGCAATGGCCATCCTGCACTAACACAAACAATGAATTTTCTGCTGTCTGAATGTGAAAGACATCACTTACTATGTACTGTGAAATATTTCCACTCACAGATTTCAAAGGCACTGCAGGTTTGAAGCAGCAAGAGAAAGTCATTTAAACTCACATCTGGCTTCACTGTTGTTATATTCATGCATGGTTGAAGCTAGCAAAATATTCATTTACTTCCACAAATATATAATTGACTTTAAAATAGATGTGGCAGAACATTAATGGGGAAAATGGGGATAAACAGCAGGACAACTGTGTTTTTTTGAGTTTCTATGAAGAGCTTTAATGTTTACTCACTAACTTTGGATGTTTGTGGCCCATTAAGCAGCACATATTAGTTGTAAAATAAAGTCTAAAAACCAGTTGCAGCTGCGACACAAACCCCAGTGCAACAAATGTCTCATGCCACCACTGACCCCACTACCACTGAATACCAACTTTGTCACTTCTACCTTGCTTTTATTTGTTATCTGTGCCAACATCGTAATTTAACGAGGTTGAAACAGCCTGCTAGTGAGCTAGGAGACACTAGCCAAATCTACTGGAGTGATAATATCTGAAAACTGCCATTTAATAGGCTAATGACACCAATGTTTGGGTCTTACAGGCACTGGTTCTGCTTTTTGGTTACAAACAAATTGGCCAATCAATTTAACCGTTTGTGAATTCTCATTTGTCAAGTTATTTCAACTGGCATTTGCCAAGGTTGTGGCTTGATTTAACATAATACATTTAAATAAAGGCAAATAAAGACGTCTTCAGCCATGTGCAAAAGTCTGTTTAAAATATGAATCTGAACATGTTGGCTTGATCTCACTTTTTTATGCTGCACACGTCTCTTGTGTCTAATCAACTCTGTTTCTGATTTACAATAAGATGGCGATATTCATTTAACATGCATCTTTTACTATTCCCAGTCCAGGAGAGAGAGATTTCTAAGGGGTTGGAGGGTGGAGCAGCTGCTGCAAGAGGTGACACATAGGAAGACATTGCTTTTATTGACAATGGCAGAGAGAAGTAAACGTTCAAAGGTGTGTTTGCACTTCACTAGAGCCAATGCTGACAATACTCATTGGCACAAGTACAAAAAAGACTTCTCCGTGTATAGTGAAAAATTGCAGCTGAACAAAGGTGAAAAATATTAAAGGAACAGTGACCAATGACTGAGTGACAGAATGCTGTCACCATGGCCTGCTCCGTTATGAACCTTCTTTCTGGAGTCTGTTTTCAACAACCCAAGTGGTTATCCTTCAAGCTTACAGTTTTACACCAAGAAATTTCCTTTCTCTCTCTCTTTGCCCTGGATTATGTTTCCCTGCTGAGGCACAGCAGAGGAAAAGAAACACAAAACAGACATCGTGTTATTTTCAGAAAAACTTTGGAATATATTTTTACATTGGAAGTCGAGTATGGATTTCAATCACCCACACTCAAATTGCCTTAGGACTTCTTCCAGCCAGCAATGTTTGTTTCAGTGTGCAAATGTGCACCTGCCTGTTGATCTGTGATTCAGCTAAGGTTTAGTAATTAACATGTCTTTTCAACAGCATATTGTGTGATAAACACCATTTTATTGTAAATGAAGTCTCTTGTTTAACCTAATCTCACCTTGCTCAATTATCCGCAAGTTCGTTAAACCTTTTGCTCAGTCCCTCATAACTGCTGCTGTAAATAATGCCAGTGCAGCCGAGAGGAGTCAGATGCTCCTCTAAGCATGGTATCACATCATATAAGGTCTTTTTATCAGATTAAAAAGATCTTGAAAAACGTCACTAATGTAATTTGGCACAGCATCAACAAATAAACATGTGTTTAATTCCTTAAATTTACAACACGTCTTTCATATCACACATGCTGAATATCAATGGAGCTGATTTCTATACAAATATTTGCATGCAAGTTTCATCAGAATTGTATGAATATTTGATTGCGGAAGATATTATCCAAATCAAATTGGAATTCTTAAATTGATTCAACAACATGTATTAATACAAAGCTAAACTGTACAACATGTTAGGAGATGCTATATCTGCAGTTTTTCATATTCAAAATAGGCAAGTAAATGCATAAAATAGTTATCCTTTCATGGCATTTGGTTGTAAAACCAGAGCAAGCATTTGTTTGATTTAGCTAAATCTAAATTTCTGAATTTTAAATATACTATTTGTTGGCTTTTAATATAGTATAAATCAAAAGTGTTACAATTGAGGTAAGTGCTTTGGCAATAGGTTCAGCCAGACTAGATCACACACGTCAAAGCCTTAGCTGTTCTTAAAATATACAATGTAGAGAATACAATTATGAAAATGTACTAAGAAAAAGGTAAACTACTACATTTTACTGAAAGGACCTGGCAAAAGTACTTATTCACATGCTGAAATACCTAAATTTATCTTAGCGCATAGCCAGAAGTCCTGTCATGCAAAATTTGTGACAAATTTAAGTGCAAGTGAATTTGGATAATAGGTAATGTTCATAGTATTTCCAGTACTTGTTGTCTTTAAACTGTTAAATATGAATTTTAAGCGTGATGTCTCTAATTACAACACATTTCCACTGAACCAAAGACAGCACCTTTGGAAACACAGAGCTAATCATAGAAAATAATATAACTTTTGTTACAACTAAAGAGGGTTTTTCATAAAAAGCTATTGTTGTGCCTAACAATGAGAATCAGATTTCAGAAATTAAGCTGAATGTTGAAGGTTAAAGCAAAGAACAAATGATGACAGAACAAGCTGTCCCAACGTCTTGAATGTCATTTGGATTAAGAAGAATTCTGTCTCTGATGCAGGTACACAGAGGTGAAATTGTACAAAGCATCCACAAACTAATGACACTCTGTACTGTGCGTACAAGTAGAGCAACAGTTTCACTGAATATTATCTCTAAAAGAAAATGAAACATGAAACACATTCAAATTCTTGTCTATTTTTAAAGTACAGTTCTCCTTCTAACTAATGCTCCTTCTAAGTTTTTGTATTATAATAAAAACCTTCTTACAAAAATCTGATTTTTGAGCAGTTGTTTTGTTGAATTAACAAGGCACTTATATAATGGCAAAAACATTTTTTGGATCATACATATTGTTGCGCATAATTTATACTGCAGTCAAAAAACAGGAATCCTATTAGTCGTATTAGCTGAGGCAAAGTGTTGCATTAAAATATGCTATAATTAAGTTTTTGCAAATATACAGAAAATTTATACTATATAGTAGCCTGGATAACTAAAATACTTCTTTCCAGAAACATGCTGGTATAGATATATATAGATATATCTATATATCTAGAGGGAGAATAAGAGTGAGAGAGAGAAATACATAGATCTGGAGGGATCTGGAAGTAAAACTACCCAGTTTCTGGGTCCTCGTGAGACATGCTTAGTTGTATTTTCTGATGAAGGGCTAAAACCTCTACCATCCCTCTCCCTGAGTGGGGTACGCTGGTGTGTAGAAGGTGCCTCTGTAAATGCCTGATCCAGTCCTCCTGAATGGAAAAGGGACCATGAAAAACTAGGTCGCAGAATCTGCAGAGATACACCAAAAGAAACTGTCAGTGTTTCTGGACTTCATGCATTTCTTCTAACGCCTTCTAACTAAGATGTAGTTTTATTCATTCTATACATTGTAATCAAAGATTCTCAAGTTTTCCAGTCTTTTCCATAACTATATAAAATTCATTGAGGCTTCAAAATGGCATTGTTAGAGACATGGGCACTTTAACTAATAGAAGTTACTAAACCATGGCTGTGTTTGTAACTTGACTTTTGGAGCATAAGTTCACTATCACTGTTATGCTGATGATACTCAGTCTTATCTACCTGTTACACTTGGCAGTCACTATATTTTAAGAACCTCTTTGACTGTTTGGATGATCTCACGTTCCTGGACAGCAATACATTTCCTAAAGCAAAACGGACGTTATTTTATTTGCTTTCCCCCAAGCTCCACAGATATCTTAACTATTACATTCAGTCCTTTCTCCATAAATATTAAAACCGTAATTTAAGTTCCTAGAGTATTCGTTGATAGTTTCTGGACTTTTAACCCTTTGCAGCAGGTGGTAGTTCGGTTCCAAAAAAACTCCTCAGTGATTTGTTTATAGTTAGAATCTAAGTTAGATCTAGCTGAACTACCAGGTATATGCAGCAAGTTTGAGCTAAATGCCAAACAGCTTCTCTGAGTGGCTCCTTCTGGCCCAAAAGAGCAATGTGGTAATTACTATTAAGAAAAGTTGAGCTGTCCAGGACTTTACAAACCACTGGGTGACATCATGGTGTGCAAATATACAGTCATAAAACTGGGTGCAGACAAATTGCTTGCAACCATCAAACATGCAAATGTCAATATTCCAGCTTGTCCTTTATACATCTGCCGGTTTAACCGTTGTTTTGTTGAAATACTGTATATGTAGCCTTTCATTCTTTTTACCTGCAGGTCAGTGTGCACATCTCAGTATTCAGTGAAGGTAAATTATTATTTTTAAGCTCCGGCCTTAGTCTTGGTTTCTTCTTCCTAAAATCATAGTCTAGAAAAAAAAGCACCAGAATTCTTTATCTCAAGAAATACATCCGTTTATCCTTGACATGAACTTCTAAATGCACATTTTGCAACATTTTGTCTCTAAATACAGTAAATATCATCTGCTTTTCATTTTACTTCAACAGAAATTACCTGCTTCTTCAAAAATTGCAATCCTCTTCCTGTGTGCATTTGCTTGAATATGACCAGGAAGCTGGGAAACAGTGGGGAAGGTGCTGTCACACTGAATATAAATCTTTTTTGAGTCACATTCCCCTGAAAAATAAAATAAATGATGTGAGTGTATTTTACATTTCCCTAATATTTAGGTTATATATTAATTTTATACAGTTTAGCCTGCACATGATACCAAATGTGACAAATCCAAGTTTACAAACATTAGAAGTTGAATATTTACGAAGAAATATAGAATATATTTGAGTTCATGCAGTAATTTTATTATCAGATAAACTGTTAGTCCCAGTGTGCGCTAAAGTCTTCTTCCACCTGGCTGCATTCTAAGCATCTTATTTGCACTCTCCTGTTTGGAAAGTGTTACTGGTAAAGTTTAACACAATCTTGTGTCTTCAGGGGGACTTTTTTCACATACAATTCACCACCTCGAGGGAGTCACAAAGGATTCCTAAACTACACACGCAGAGACACACACACAAAATCACAGATATATTCATTTTACAGGAAAACTGGCAACAATGATGCTGTACACTAGACTGCATGTTAATGATTAATGATATCTGGCATAGTTCAGTAGATATCCCAAACGATCTTTCAAAAATTAAAGAACCTGATTTTACTTTTCAGTGTATTTGTATGTCAAAGAAAAATATCCCAAAAATGTGAGTAACACATGATTTGAGAGTCATCTTGACCTTGAGGTGAGAAGAAATGAACTCGGTGGTGCATTTACGTTAATACCCAAATGTTATTCTACAAATTGCCATTAAATCAGTCTTTAGGACAGAAGACATGGGATAAAACGTCTTTGGGAAGTACACTGCAGCTTTGTCCTCCTTAGTACCTCACTGAAAATTTGATTTGGACAGACATTAAACAAAATTGTGGATTCGTGGATGATGGGCTTGTGACACAACATCAAGAGGATTTCATGTTTTTTTAATATCAACTTCAAAAGCACTTTGGTGGCATTCTATGCAGAGAATGTGTTTTTCCCACAAATCAAATGACTGTGAACAATTCTCACACTGTTTAACTGTATTCTGTCGGCAATAAACACGTTATCTGGGATGAGACATGGTAAATTTGTAATAAAATATGAATTAAAATCTGAGAATTAGTTGACTTCGACGCAAGTGAAGGCAGCTCAAAAACAGGGCACACTCTGAATTTAAAAGATATAAAGTTGTTGTTGATATGGATGCGGTTATGTTTTATGCAAGCCTAGCGTTTGCCTGGGTCAACATGCTATTCCTCTACTGATAATTAATTGAGAAATAAAAAGACAATTAAATAAAAAACTATTAAAACACAACAATAAATCACACTTAATGATATAATAGCTTGCATACAGTAGCTTGTCTTACATATGATTTATTAAATGCATGATAATGATACCTCAATTTTTGTTTTTCTGCTTTGGCTGGTTTTGCATAACATTTAAAAATGATGTATTTTACATACAGTATGATGGCTGTCCAAATCTAGACTTAAAGATTCCATACCAGCAGACCAGTTTGGTTCCCGACTGGTCATCTCTGTTTTGGCCATATAAGCGTTGGTCATCTCACAGATCATCCTGGTTGCATAGGCTTCTTGGCTCACTGCAAGCTCCACACTTTCCTGTTTGGCTTTGAGGAGTTCAACTAAAGTGCTTGATGTGGCTGTAGTGCCTCTTTCTGCTTCCCCATGTAGCTTCTTCCTTTCTGAGAGATTATCTACCAGGTGTTTACACACAAGGCTTTTCTTTATGGGATGCAGACTCCTTTTGACATGTTGGAGTTTCCCTGGGATGCTTGTCTGCATCAGAAAGAGGCCATTGCTGCAGATGAACTTCTGAGGGGCTAAAGGTTGAGAGGAGAACTGACTCTTAGTCAGAAGGTTGTTCCAATGTTCCGTTTTGTTCTGTAGCAATTCATTTAGTGCGCACAGCGGAGACTTACTGCTGCTGGTAACCTTTGTACCTATTCGTTTCAGGTGTCCCCTCACATGGTTAGCAATGCCAGTTTTGCTATCAAAACATTCCAAACACACAGGACACGTGTGTTGTCCTCGAGTTTCTGGCTTAACAGCTGTAATATAAGAACAGTGTGTCACAATTTAAGGAAAGAAAAAAGCTATTTTTAGTGTACATTTTGGAATGTGAAACTTTATAGATATAGATTTTCTATAGCTGCTTTTATATGTAAGTCATATAATAGACCCTACTGCCGATCACAGAAATACTAAATCGTAAACCCTATACCATATCCTGAAGTGCCACTTTGAAATGGTTGTGGAGCTTTGAAGAACTTTGACTTCTGTCATGGAGTAATTAACCAAAGCTTCTATAGAGGTGCGCAATATGCAATCCCACTGACTAAGATTATAGATGCTTGCTCCAACACATCCCTGGCTCCATTTCTTTCTCCTATCAAAAATGCAAAATGATTTTCTTACTAAATTACAAAATATAATGTTATTCATCTTTTGATAGCATTTAAGGACATACAGAACACATCTGATAGGTGGCACGCTTACACTAAAATTCTACAGTATGTGCAGGCACCTAATATTGTACAAGCTAGGCTATAATGAGGTAATCGGTGTTAGGGATATTAGTTTTGGCACACAGTCCATTCAGACTCGGTTTGTATTTATTATTTGTTAAAATAATCATACCTTTTTTTCTCATGCCAGTAGAAATCTTTCTGCGGATTCTTGGCTGATAGTCCCACAACGCCACTTGCTCCGGTGAAACCATGTGCCGGGCATTGTAGCTCACCCCAGCTCTGTGAAGATGTCCTCGCACGTGATTGGACAGACCCACTCCGGACTCAAACGTGGCGGGACAGTAAGGACAGGGCTTATGTTTTACTGATGGTGTGGGGGACATATCAAAACTATCACTTGGAGATGTATTAGGCAATTCTGTGGAATCATCACTCACTGTCGTTTCAATGTGCTCCTCTTTGATTATGAGCTGTTCTATGTCACTGCAGTCTTCATCTCCATCATCTTCAACCTTGAGTGCGTGGGGGCTTTGGTGTTTGGCTGTAAAGCTCTGCCTCTTTTTCAAATACCTCCGAGCATATGAGTTCCTTTCATTCTCGCTGCTTTCCAAGGAGCTGCCTGTAGCTTCGCTGGTGTCATCACTGAAGTTATCATCACCCTCACAGCCTTTCTTTAACTCCCTAACTGCACACTGTTTCTTAAGCCTCTGGCTAAGCCCAGGCAATATATTACCATTCATTCTTTCAGTAGTGTTATGCAAAGGTGTAGTCATTTTTCCCATTGATGGAGAATTTTGGCTTACTTGTACTTGTAAACTCCCGTTTACGGGGTCATTTTTGCTTCCCTGACAGAACATCTGGTCCAATTTAAGCTTCCTGGCTGTAAAAGCAGCGGCTGTAGGACGGTTTGCCAGCTTTAAGCTGCCAAAAGCCCTGCGGTCATTGTTTTCAGCATCTTCTTGTACACAGGTGAGATCGGTTTCCACATCCAATTTTTCTGCTGGTTGTAAGAGTAACTTTCCATGCTTGTCGATTCTCCACAAATATGGCGACAGCATGCTTTTAGTGCAGCTGGCATTGGGTTTAAACTGATGACAGTTTACAGTGTTGTCAACAGTTTTTTGAATGTGAATATCCCCCTTTTCAGTGGAACGGTCGAGTTTTTCCTTTAAAGTAGATTTAAATAGATTTGGTTTACATCGGGCCATTGTTTTATATTTGCCAACATATGGCATTTCAGAATGTTTTCCTAACACTACTTTGTCTCTCCTTGGGAAAAAACTCATTTTACACTGAAACGGAACATGTTGTGCTCCCTCTGCATCATTAGTATGACTCATTTTCCTGTTTTGAGGCTGGTGTGTGTTGAGGTGTGCAACATGTAAGTGTGCTACAAGTGTCTGCCGTGTCAAGGAAATGTAATTACATTCCTCACAAAAGTAGTAGTGCTTCAGATTATCATGTGTTTTGGTACCCTGGACAAAGACTTTTTGGCAGTTACAACCAAACGTGCACCGAGAGCACGGCACTGCGGTGGCCCCATCTTCAAATTCAGTCTTTTTGAGACCTTCAATTTCCTCCATAAGTTTTTCCAGCCTATCTTGGTGAATAATGATGTGCCTCATGAGGGAGTTGCTATCACAGAACAAAAGCCCACACTCTCCGCATATAAAGGGCTGTGAATCATTCTCACTGTTCACCTGATTATGCTTGCCTAAATGATACATCATATGTCTATGGAAATGTCTTTTTTCCTTGAAATTAACATTGCATGTTGTGCATGAAAAGAAAAGTGAATCTCGTTCAAGTTGCTCTGCCTTCAACTGTTCCACTTTTGGACTAACACAGTTTTCATCTTCAGGGTCATTTTCCTCATTACTGCCTCCCTGCGCTGTGCTATAAATATGGCTCTCAGAGTCTAAAGCTATGTTCCGAGAAAGGTCTTTGAATGGCATAACTGAATATTTAATGTCAGATTGTGTACCCAAAAATTCATCTTTGTTGCCAGTGTCAACACTTTCAACATCATTACCACTGCAGAAATGTCTGTAGCTGTTGTTAACCTTTTCAAGACAGCCTAACATGCTTTTTGTGTATGTATTGTGCTTCTTGTCTCTTTTGGGCATCACTTTGGTCTCCAGCCTTCTGTCGTTGTGCAAAAAGCATTTTCTTGTTGAATCCCACCTGATTACTTCAGTATTATCATAATCATCCAAGGAGACTCCAGACCGTTCCATGTCCCGTGGAGATCTTGTTTTTATTGTCTGTTTTGTCAAAGGTTGGCTAATGTGCATTTGCTCTGCACTGTCACCTGACAGCGTGGAATAGGCCAGTTTAGACTCATTCTCCTCCGAGTGAGACAGTGGCGTGTTGACACCTGGCTGTGTGGCCGGTGTTTTTACGTCGGGTCCCACTGTGTTCTTCCAAGCGTCTGATTGAAGCTCACTAGGTGGTGGTAACACCTCGGGGCTCGTGTCCTTCTCCGCTTGCCACACGGCATCCAGGACACTGTTGGATAAAACAGTGCCTTTGTTCAGGACACAGTGTACCTCTGAGTTGGGGTGTGAACCAGGTCCATTAACAAGTGCTCCTGAAGGCAATGAATTGTCTGCATGGGGAACAGCAGGGACACTGCTGTATACAAATGGATTCGGCTGGGTTCCATTTAAAGGGTTTTCGTGTTCATCTGAGGACAGACCTGCAGCATTGTTCTTCGGGGAGAATGTGTGAGTCTGTAATGGCTCCCGAGTACGACCTGGGCTGTCAGACACCGATTCCACGTCTTTGTCCTCTTGCGCATTCAGCTTCAGATCAGACATAGCAGCGATACTTTCTGAAATATGAAGAAGAAAATTATTCTGCAAACTTTGAGCAAGTCAAATAAAGCGTTCAACGTCTTATACATATCTACACGTATACACAGTATAAATAGAAAAAGATAACTCTTGCACATAATATAGTAAAATGTAATTCTTTTTCTCTCATTCTCACTGAAAATGTGGTGTTGTTGAAAAAATCTTTTTTTTTCCTTTTGGGCTATTCCCACTGCTCTGTAAAATGAGAGTGGTATTATTCTGTGCCGCATTATGATTTTCCAACACCCTCTTTCGCCACCTCTATTCACAACAAACCCTGCTGTTAGCCTTGAATACCCTGGTGAGGATGCTTAATTATGTGAGCGTACCTCTGGGATACAACCTTCCTGCTTCTCCACCTAAAGTTCTCAGTCGCCTGCTAAAATTGACCAATTTCCATGGGAACAAAGTACACCTCCAATGAGATCATATTGCGTCTTATCACTCTGTGATGGTGCCAACACAGATCCCAGCATGAGACTGTTGTTACTTGAATCCTGACAAATTGGCAGGCACACAATCTGTCTGAAATACAAACACAGACTCACACAAAGAAAACATACACTTTGGCGCATACACGTGGACAGGCATACAAATTCGTTTAAGAGTGGCTGATTTGAAAGCACAGTTACTCCATATTTATTTGGACAGTATGAAACCAAATAGCTCTGAGCTATTAAAAATAACTACAACTAAAAATGTGCATTTTGGATCTTATAACAGATTATATTTTGCTGTCCAGAGCAGATTTAGTCTGAAACATATGCTCAGTGGATTTGACATCCAGGGCTGGTCGCTCTCTACAGGAAGCTGCATTGCTAACGAAGTGGTAAATTCAGTGTTAATGAGTGGCTTCACTGTTACCACCTCAGAGGTAAAACCTTCCGAGCTCCATATTCTCCCCATCTGTTGTGGTGTTAAAGGTTCGAAAGGGGAACAGACGCTCTACATTTAAAGCGAGCTTCACTGTTACCCCCAAACGGCAGGGTGGCAAAACCATCAAAATATCTTGGTTGAAAATGTGCAAGCCTCATTAGCAGCCAACTCACACAACTCGCTTCTATATATAAAGAACAGGGGCTCAACAGAAAAGCAAATTTTAAAAATGTATTTGCTTCTATTTACTTCATTTAGTCAATGTTAAAAGGCTGACTTTGCCTTGCCTGAAGATATTTACAGGGATTATGAGCTTTAATACAGTTAAGCTGTATGCACAGATCAATCTGCTGTGAGCTTTTACTAACCCTGTCTGCTATTTTCCCCAAGACTCTCACTTTGTATTTTCAGTTTGGTAAATGAGATTTAGAAGCAATATCATGATCCCTTTTGTGTTCATCATTGTGTTCTGTTACACAATAGAAAACAATATAACACCTCTCTTTTATTGTGAAGTCTTTAACATTTTTTTTGTTCTTCCAGCACCTACAGCTTCGATCGTGCATCTCATCTTGTGAACGAAATGATGTCTAGCAAATGCAATTCTCTATATACTACAGCTAAACCTCCAAGAACTACAATAAATGCAGCATTATTGGTACTAACACTTCATATACTATATGCACCATATTCAACTATTTTTATTGCTGATTGATTAATGATTGCTATTTACAAACTGTTGCATTGCATTCATCCAGAAACTACACATTTAGAAAATAAAAGTACTGATTTTCACTTCACTAACAGTAAAAATGACTCAAGCTAACTCAAGCTATGCGGTTAATTTGATCTCCTGAAGCACGCTCTGATATTTGGTGGGCTGGGAAGCATGCCATGTACTCACGTTGGTATAGCTTTGAGTCTGGCTTTCAACTACAGCACGTGTCATGCTCTATTCCCTTTCATCCTCCTGTCATTCTCTACTGTGAACAATCCGAATTCGTGAAAATAGCATAACATTCGACTGTAAATTACTTGTTCTAGTACACAAGGTAAGGAGTAATTTTACATGTTCTTTTAGACAAGTTCCAATATTCCTGTGAGAGCAGACAGATATTCCTAGAGTCAAAAACCTGCCTCTATTATAATGACAGAGTGCAAAGGTCACACGTTGTTAGTTAAATTCTGTCATTATTTTCTCTAGATCTCATGAGCCATCTATGTTATAAGGCTGGAACTTGGAGCAGTGCGATGACGGTCTAGGTTTCCAGTCATTTCTGCTGTTTTGGACAATCATTAGAACAAAAGGTCAAGTGAAGTGTGAAAATCAAAGGCTAATAAGACAGAAAATATGGAGGAAGACATACAGCGGATGAAGAAACCCGAGCTTATATCATTTCTAAAAATGGTAAATACAGGAGAGAGGCTATGTGCAAAAGTATGTTACATAATGTCTTTCACAGAGTTTATTTTACACCAGCGAAATCAAAAAGAATGTGCCTAGCTGATGACAGTAGGTGTTGGAGGTGTAGGAGAGTGCACTTATCCCGGCTGTGATGGAAAAAGCCGTGCTAAAATCAATACGAGTAATTGGGGAGTTTTATCTTTATCCTACATGTGAATGCAGCCTTTTATATACGGTTGATGTATTTGTTTATGCTGCCTAATAATATATAACACAACAGATATGGTTTAAGTAAGGGACTGTACTTTGAGATGAGACAGGTACAATACAGTGGGAAATACAGTAGGTGCAGTAATTTATTGAAATGTGCAAACAAACAGAAATATAATATACAGTTTAAGGCACAAACAGCATTTGTACAATTCTAATGAGCTTGGAAGTCAATATTTGACTACTTTTATTCTTCAGCACAGCCTGAACTCTCTCAGGCAAGCTTTCATGTTATTTCTTTTTAAAGTTGTATTCAGGAAGATCGATTCTGTGTGGTAAAAATATCAGTAAAAATATTGGTGTATTTTCCATTGTGCATTTTTGGACATTTGTTTTGGTGATCTAACATATTTTTGCCTGAAACTACATCTAGAATTGACATTGCCATGTTATTCATCTCATGCCAGTGAAGTAAAGAATTAAAATCTGGCTATAGGTGTAGAATATTTGTTGTATCATTTTTGTGAAAGCAGACATTTATTAAATAAAATATAAAATAAAAATACTGCAACACTAAACTTTAAGTCACATGAGGACTACAAATTGATTGACCAGGAGGTTGGCACTGTAAGGCTGGAAATGTCCAAGCAAATTCATTCTTCTTGTTCAGCTGAAGACCCAGGCTGGCAGCACAGTGGAGACAACACTAAAGACCAACTGAGACCAGTCAGCCAAACCATTTCTGTTGCTGGAGCTGTCTGTATGGATCAAGAGCCAACCTTACATTCCTCTGCCATTGCCTTTGCTGGAGAAATGCCTGAACGAGGGGGGGCACAGTCCCTCAAGTACTGCACTACACAACTTCCTCAGTTAATAGGATCTATTGATTTATTTGACACAATGTGAATTTATGAAGCTGCCTCTTTAGTGTGAGAGTATCAAAGCGTGGCTCAAAACAAACAGACGGAGATTCAGCTTGACAATCCAGTAATCCCAAGGTGAGCAAGTTCTCAACGAAGGTGCCACGGTGGGAAAAAAAAGGGAGAAACAAACACATCGTAAAGTTTTTCTTCTGCTATCTTGGCCCTGCAGTTACCCACAGTACCACACACCAGAAAGGCAGGATGAAATTAGCAATGCACTGCCAAATCTCACTTCTCAAGCAGACTAACTGGCTTCTTGCACACAAAAAAAAGGAATGTGACACTACAAAACACAATTGCACATTCATAAAACACCATAAATTTCTTAAATTTGCACAAGAGAAAATAAAGAGCAAGTGGCTTCACACAGCCTCTTTGTCAGGATTACATAGTATTCTTTTATCCCCCTGAATTCTTGTCACCCAAAGGTCATTTCCATAATAATGGTCTCCATCCTCCCTAATGGGATTTCGCCTGTGATTATGTATGCCAGCGTCTTGTGCAGACACTATCAGCTCTGTCATCCTGAATTGCACAAATGTAATTACACAAAGCCTTTGATAACTAAACAATGTAATTTACTGCTTGAGTGAAAATATATATTGGAGTTATACGACTCAAATTATAAACTAAAGGAAAACATGTTATACGAGTACCACAGAAGGTATGTTCCAAAGAATATCACGTTCTTTATAGTATGAACACATTAAATGGTAATGCATGCTTTGAAAACAAGAATAAAAGCTCACAGGTAAGTATTACAGCAAGACGTCACTCAAAGGAATGAGTTTTATTCTTTTCAAGGCGTTAGATGGGACTCTAACATCTATGAACTAAAGATGAGGCTTGTCTCTTAGTCCCGCAAAGTATAAACAAAAAAAACTGTTAGCATATATGGGATACATCCAGTCTTGGAACACAACTTCACTATGAAGAGTTGATAAAAAATAAGGATTATGGTTTTTAAGATCTAAAAACAACATTTTAGTTAAGCGGCAGCCATCTACAGTGACTATGGCTCTTTGGCCTGCCTGTGTTCAGTATTTGACAGAAGACAGCAGCCTGTTACGTCAACCAATAAGCAGCCAGACAGATGGGCACGTAAGCTGTGGTTGTGCCTAAATAAGTAATCACTGATCCCCAATGTTTTTCCTTTTTATTTTCAAATTAATTTAAAATAAAAGTTTGGTTTACTAAACTTAAATCGATTATTTTATTGCATCCTCTCTAGTCAGTACAGCACTATGATGACATAATGATGACACTATAAAAATGAACAATTAATTGGTAGGATTTATTAACTGTATCTGACTTTTAAAGCCAGACCCGAAGACAAGACTTGAAAACAATGTCTTCCCCTCTACATGCACAATTTTATATTCTCAGCCCATGTAAGTTTCAGTGTAATAAGATAAAACCTTCTGAGTGCACTGTGCACCAACTAAAACTCTAACTGGATCTCAGTATTTCCAGTTTAGACTAATATGTTCACGCTTTATTGAAAGTCTAGAGCATCCTTGATGTCTTCCCAGCAGATTCAATCTAGTGCCAACCTTTATGTTTG